TGGGTACTGAAAAGATAAGCTTATTATACCCGGTATGGATAAACTTCTACTGGGGGTAATGTTTATCCATAACCGGGTACCGAAGTGATAAGCTTCTTCAGGAAACTTATTTGCAATATAGTACTAAATAGATAAATATATTTACGGTGGAGTCCCATATGGATAAGCTTCTTCAGGAAGCTTATTTACAACGGAGTACTAAATGAACATCCATAATATAATATATTTATAACGCTGTTATCAAATTAAATTATTTAACCATGATATGTTGATATGGTTTGTGTATGCAAAATTTTACTGCATGCAAACCCCCTCCCCGCTCCTTCCTTCCTCTATGTCTCATTATATATCGCACACTTTCTTTTTTTGTTTACCCCAAACAATGACTCATTTTTACGTTTCATAAAATAATCTAATTTTAAACTTCTTATTTACTCTTAATGATATGATTTATAGCCACATAAATATTTACAATTTATTTTAGACAATAATCTAAATTTCAAATTTTTCTCTTTCTTTCTTAAATTGTAGATTCAAACAAATACGGTCACATAAATAGTAGAGCAACACATGAATACATAGTAGTTTAGTTATATAGTAGGTCAAATGAGTTGCATTTAATTGGAGATGAAGATAGGGCGGCCCCTCTGGGATCCTTGTGATTTGTGAATGATAGCCAGCTCACTTCACTGTTAATGACATACAAATACAAGTCAAAGTTCAGTGAAATAGAATGCCCACTGCAGCTTCTGCCTTCTCTGCACTTTGAATGCATACCCCTCATTTCCTCTCTCTGCTCTGATTTTCTGCGCTGCTTCTCTCTGGCCTTTCTTAAGCTAAAATGCATTTAAAATATTTTTTAAGTTTGTTCACAAACCCAATGCTCCATCCTTTAATTAATACTCAATGACTCACTATTGTATGTTTTGTTTCTTTATTGCCAACAAAAGCAAAACTGACATCCCTTTGCCTCTTCGAATTATTTAACCCCTCTTCTTGGCTGTTGGCTCTACCTCTCCCCCCTTTTCAATCGTCGAAATTCTATTTATCTCTTTATATCTAGTTGCCTGACCCCGCCTTTTAAATTTGTGCATATCTTATTTTGAATCTTTACTCTATGCATCTTTTCTCGCCCCAAATCTCATTTTAGCCTAACAAATCAATCAATTATATATGCATCGATCACAAATGCCCATACATGACTTGTTTTAAATAACAAACTTTAATTTTTTTTCTTTTTAAACATCATATCCAGTCAAACATCGTTATATAAAATAAGACAAATACAATATTATCTACATTTGAGTTTAGAATAAACCTCCACAAGGTAGGAGTGTCTCGTTGTACATTCTCAGACCCCACAATATAGAAATACATTAAATATATTATTATTGTTGTAATAACTTGGACAAATATAAATGAAATGGAGGGAGTAGTATTTATTTGAGTTTGAAAGAACAAGGTGAAACTCCCGTAAGCGGAGTTCTCCGGTGTATAGTAATTGTGGCTAAGGTTCTGCATCTTATGCAATTATTTCCTTGTCCTACATATATGAAGCTCTAGTTGGATTTCGTGTCCACTTGATGGGCGGTAAAATGCGACATTTTTGTCACCACTTAGGCCAAAAGAAAACGAATTTAGGAGTGAATGCAAGAATAACAAAACATAACGGAATTGTCCATCCCATAATGAACAAGACATTTGAACAGGAAATAAGAGGCATTAAGGGACAAGAAACGAAAACGTCCAAGAACGGGGTGTTGTGAATTGAAGTGACAAATTGGCTTCCTTCATATATACAGAGGAAGCCATGAGATTCTATCAAAGATTTATTCGTCAGAAACCACTCAGAATTATCGCTCAATGCCAAAGTAACACGTAATGCCAAAAAAGCATCACATCATTATATAAGACCCATCACATATAGTCAAAAAGACATACCCCGAATATATTTTAAACCCAAAAAAAAAAAAAAAAAA